GATCCTTACGAGTCCAAAATGGTATAAAATTCCAAAATCGTACATTATTTGGCCGAGATATTCCAAAAAATCATCAAAAAAGGTTGACTTTACAAACGAATCGGTTTTTGTTCAACCACCTTTTTTAACCCTTCGATTTTTATAATGTTTGAATGCCAATTTATAGTAGGGATCCCTACGAATTCAAAAAGGTATAATATTTCAAAATGTGACAGTATTTACCCGAGATGTTCAATAAAAATCATCAAAAAAGTTTTGATTTTCGAACCGACCCCGAATTTGAGGAAAAACGTGACCCATTGCCATTTTGTTGATTTGGCCAAAATTTAGATTTTCATTTTGTTTATGCCAATCGATAGTACTGATCCGTACGAGTCCAAAATGGTATAAAATTTCAAAATCAGACATTATTTGGCCGAGATATTCCAAAAAATCATCAAAAAAGGTTAACTTTAGAAACGAATCTGTTTTTGGTCAACCACTTTTTTAACCCATCGTTATTTATAATGTTTGAATGCCAATTTATAGTAGGGATCCCTACGAATTCAAAAAGGTATAACATTTCAAAATCTGACAGTATTTACCCGAGATATTCAATAAAAATCATCTAAAAAGTTGCGATTTTCGAACCGACCCCGAATATGAGAAAAAACGTGATGTAAATTTAGATTTTTATTTTTTTGATGCCAATCGATAGTACTGATCCTTACGAGTCGAAAATGGTATAAAACTTAATAATCGGACATTATTTGGACGAGTTTTTTGGCCCACATCTTTTTGTAACCCATCGATTTTTAATTTGTTTTAATGCCAGTTGATAGTGGGAATCCGAACGAATTCGAAAAGGCATAACATTTCAAAATCAGACTTTATTTAGCCGAGATATTCAAAAAAATCATCAAAAAAGTTTTGATTTTCAAACCGAGCCCGATTTTGCGAAGAAATGTGATGTTATCCCCTTGCTTTTTGGTTGACTCTGGTCAAAATTTAGATTTTAATTTGTTTGATGCCAATCGATAGTAGAACATTCCCATTGTAAAAGAATTTGTTGGGAATAGGGAATTAAATAACTTAACTTTTCACTTTCTGAACCGAGTACAGGCATTGCTGCACTTGCAGATTCCGCTCATGTGGATGGTAAATGTCCAAGCTGCAAGCGTGTGGATTCTATTTCAGCTGTGCGTTCGCATTCAATTTGCCTGCTTAGCAGCAAACTTTCAATAATAAGAGAAGAGTATAATGCCTAGTTTATTTACAGATAATATAACCGGCTAATTGTGTAATAATACTAATAATAGGAATAACACGTAACATTATTTACAAGAAAATAAAATATGGTAAATAGCGACATCTGTCGAATGATCGGACAGCGCTGCCAACTGAATATTTAAAAGTGTACCATTTTGAGTTTTTCTTAGCACTATTAATTATTCCACACTGGATCTGATTTCTACAAATAAGTATTATTTCGGTAGATTTATCACACAGTCATGCAATAATTTAATATAAATATATTTTTCAGCATAAATTTAAGAAAACATCGAGATCAACGTAGAAATATCGCACACTGTATAACAAAATATCAATATATCGATATAATTTCAGCATCCCTAGACAAAACAAGCATCTCGTTCAAATTAAACGGAACTTTTGGAGCACAAAGCAGGCATTGAAGTCATATTCCCTGCGATATTCTGTATTACAGTTATAACATCTCACAGTTTTATTCAGATTTTAAACGCGTTAACACGTTCACAAATTTGGTGTTCTACTCAAAATTTAAAGTTGGGGTAAAAGTTTGGAAATTTTATGTGAAATTATTTAGAAAGAGTTAGCACGCCCATTCAGTGAACCATATTTTAATATACGGCTAAAATAAAAGGTAAGTGTGCTGCAAAGAAAATGCGAAATTTGCAAGAGCACAATTCACGCAAATGGCGGTGTAGTTTTTGGTCTGTCTCCGTCGCGGTCTTCCCAAGCACAGTTAAACGCAGTCGCAGCTGTTGCTTTGTTGCTGCTGGTTTGGCCTTGTGAAGCCGCCGGTTCTGCTGCGCGCGAAAAAGGTAGACGAAAAAATTGGCAGGCACAAAAGAAATGCGAAAAGTACGCACACAAACGCACTTTAGAGCGCGCGCGCGCGTTTGTATGTGTGAGGCAATCGAAACAGCCCTTGAATTCAACCTCAGACATCTTCCACATTTTTGAGCAGGCTCACAGCGCACATTTTTCTTTTCAGCTGTACACTTGTTATCGTAGCAGAAACAAATTTTTAAATTTTTCCAAAAAGAAAAACAAATACCTTAAATTAATTCAACATGAATAAATCGGATGCAAGCGCACGCCAGGGCCACTACAAGGCCAACACTCTCAATACGCAGGTAAGTGGCGCGATCTTTAAAACTGAATTCGCACTTAACCTCACTTTCGCCGATGCCGACTTGGCGTTTAGGACTCGCGCATGCGTCGCCATGAGGTGACCATCGAGCTGCGCAAGTCTAAGAAGGAGGATCAGATGTTCAAGCGCCGCAACATAAACGATGAAGACCTAACCTCGCCTCTGAAGGAGTTAAATGGACAGTCACCGGTGCTCCTGTCGGTTGATGAGATTGTGGCGGCTATGAACAGCGAGGATCCAGAACGCCAATTCGTGGGTATGCAGCAGGCGCGCAAGATGCTTAGCCGCGAGCGCAATCCACCCATTGATCTTATGATCGGACATGGCATTGTTCCGATCTGTATACGCTTTCTTCAAAGCTCCAAGTAAGTTATTAAGATAATAATACTCCTTCGATTAGATCGTGCGCCTCATTTGATCTCTTTGCTTTGGTCAGCACCATTCTGCAATTTGAGGCTGCCTGGGCCCTGACCAACATTGCATCGGGTACATCGGAACAGACGCGTTGCGTCATCGAGCAGAATGCGGTGCCCCATTTCATTGACCTCCTCCAGTCCAAGTCGCTTAATCTTGCCGAGCAGGCCGTTTGGGCGTTGGGCAACATTGCGGGCGACGGAGCTGCGGCGCGGGATATCGTAATCCAGCACAATGTCATCGATGGCATTCTGCGTTTAATCAATAATGAGACGCCTCTGTCCTTTCTCCGCAACATTGTCTGGCTAATGTCGAATTTGTGCCGCAACAAAAACCCATCGCCGCCCTTTGAGCAAGTAAAGCGTCTGCTGCCAGTGCTGTCGCAGTTGCTGGTCAGCCAGGACATACAGGTGTTGGCTGATGCGTGCTGGGCGCTGTCATATGTGACGGATGATGACAACAATAAGATACAAGCGGTGGTCGATACGGATGCAGTGCCACGCCTGGTAAATCTTCTGCAAACCGACGAGCCCAGCATCATTGTGCCAGCACTGCGTAGTGTCGGCAACATTGTCACTGGCACGGATCAACAGGTCAGTCAACTTAACCAACGGCAGTTAATAATCGATGTGCTTTACTCATCCGTCATTCTCTTTGCAGACCGATGTGGTCATAGCTGCTGGTGGCTTGCCCAAGCTTGGCTTATTGTTGCAACACTCGAAAGGCAATATAGTAAAGGAGGCTGCCTGGACAGTGAGCAACATAACAGCCGGTAATCAGAAACAAATTCAGGCAGTCATCGACGCGGGTATCTTTCAGCAGATACGCCATGTACTGGAGAAAGGAGACTTCAAGGCACAAAAGGAGGCCGCCTGGGCGGTGACCAATACAACTACGTCGGGTACTCCCGAACAAATTGTGGATCTCATTGAGAAATACAAGATATTGAAGCCATTCATAGATTTGCTAGATGCTAAGGATCCACGTACCATTAAGGTGGTCCAAACTGGTCTTTCGAATCTGTTTGCTCTCGCCGAGAAGCTGGGTGGTACGGAGAATCTATGCCTGATGGTCGAGGAACTAGGCGGCCTCGACAAGCTCGAAACACTGCAGCAGCACGAAAACGAAGAAGTCTATAAGAAGGCTTATGCCATAATAGATACTTATTTCAACACTGGTGACGATGAGGCCGAGCAGGAACTAGCGCCGCAGGAAGTAAATGGCGCACTGGAGTTTAATGCCACGCAGCCCAAGGCGCCGGAGGGCGGTTATACCTTCTAATGTGCCAGCCATCAATACACATACAAACACAGTACACCACACTTTTTTTTTTGTTCTTATGCGACCGCGCCTACACCATCTACACGCGATGTACACTTCTCGAGTTTGTCACTCCAAAGCACACCCCAAAACCCAATGCCGTAAAAGCGGAGGAAGAGGCAAATCCTTACTCTACTACATGACCAATGCCTATACCTTTACACATAACATTGTTTGTTGTGCATTTCCGCATTGTCCCGCATGCGGCCATGAAAACGCATCTTTGGCGCGTTCTTGGTGTTTTTTGTTTTTCGCCACACACTCGCACACGAATACACACGCACACACACACACTAAGATCATCCTGTTATCAGAACCACCACTATTCGCCTGCCCAGCTGTGCTGGTAGGCAGGCGATTGTGATTACACAGTATACAAGGTCAGGACGCTGCCTGTTGCGTTTGCATGGCCAAATGAACTGTTTTGAGTGTGCTAATTTCATTGAAATACCCTCTTTCGGATATAAATGTATATTTAGGCTGTTAGTTTATTTATTTATGAACATGTATCGTATTTTGTGAAATCCTCGACCACAACCACTTTTCATGCAAGTTTTTCAAACAACGCAATTTAATAAATGTGTCCTCATCCTATTAATGTAAAAAAAACAGCATTGAAGCCTTTAACTGAAAATTGTGAGGGATAAGCACGAGTCCCAATTTAAATTAAGCAACTATTGAAATAAAACTGTAAATGAATATTTTAAATGTAGAAAAATGTATCAAATAAACATACATGCACAGGCTATATATGTTGTCATCCAATGTAAGAAAACAGCTTTGCCGTTTAGTGTATAACGACCCAAATGCGCCAGATTAGATAAGCTGATTAAACAATGGAACTATGAAAACAAAGCGAAAGCTGGATGACTCAATTCAATCAGGCGTCGCATCGCTGGCGTGCAGCATCCCAATCAGCGGCAATTCTAGTGGTTCCAGTGCCAAAACAACATTATAATGGCCACAGAAACTGACGGGCCCCAATAGACGGGCGGACGCAGCCCCAGTTCGCGCAGTTCGTCTTTGGCGTCGTTAGCGTCCGTTTGAATGGAACAAGCGGCAGCAAAATTATAAAAATAGATTAAATTTTTAGCGTCGGAAAGTAGTTGCAGAAAATTCGAACTTACCCAGAGCTTTCCGACTCTTCCGACTCGCCCGCCCATCCGTTGTCCAAGTGTCGTCATCAATGAACAGCGCCGGACCAATTTAATTAGATTCCCTCATAAACTTTTTGTCTAGCGCGGAAGAGCGTTTAGTTCAATTCTGTGCGAAGCTGCGTGCGGGCGCCAATTCATTTTTTATTTTCCCAAGCGTTTTATACATTTTTTGTTTCAAGTTTCGTATTTAATAGTGGTTACACTTTGTCGGCAGGAAATATAATAGGTATATAATATAATACTATACTATACAAATATCATTATGGAAGTGATCAGTCAATTTTAAAGACATATATTTAATGCTGTTCAAGTGATTATAAGACCTTAAAATAAATATTGAACTTCAAAATTACCAATATGCATTTATTTTGGAACTACGCTTTAATTCTACAATATTTATGGGTTATAAAAATATGACTACAAAAGTCGGTAAAAATATATATATTTAGTATATACATATATATGTATGTGCTCAGATTTGTGTGTGCAACAGCACATCTTGCTCTTTATATCTAATCGAGATAATTGCCGTTGACGAAGATAATGATCACTACAAAAAAGACTATGTGACCTCATGCTCAGCCATTGAAAATTTAGTGAGCATTAACCATCTGCCACTCGGACGAAGCGTCAGCTGTAAACATGCTCTATATTTTGCAAAATATAAATATGAGCACGAAGTGTGGGTGTATATTGCGTTTCATTTTAGGCTTAGACGCCAAGAAAAACACTTTTGACAAATTCATGATGTAATTAATTTCCCAAAGAAAACACACAAAAATTGGCACACCCAAAATAAACAATAAACATTTAAGAGTACGCCGAGTAGTGCTACTTTAAAAGCAGGCCAAATGTGCAGCTGGCGAGAGCAGAAGACTCTTCTAATACCCTAACAATATTACTTAAATATAACAATATTTATACTAAGATAATATTCACCGAACAATAAAGAAGAAGATCTCTGGGCATTTTGATTAAATTAATAGATTAACCGGAGTCTTAAACTTTCTATAATATGTGCATCAATCATTTCACTTAGTTTGAGTAAGAGAACTTTTCTACGGATCTTTCGAGCGTAGGGTTATCTTTTGTTTTTGTGGAGGCGGCATAGAGCACGCACTCAGAAATCATTTAGCAATACGTTGAGAGAAATTCGAGAGATTCGCGTTAGATTAAAAGTTGCCCAAAATATATGTAAGGGTATATGTATGGATGCATATATGCATGTTCGTATGTTTGTTTAGCCGAGCAATGTCAAAAAGTTTTCCCGTTCTGGGTTGTTGTGGACTTTTTGGGCTAACCGAGAATCGTGTCAAGTTTTTGTGTTTGCTGGCAATTCTCTTGGCCCATTGTTTTTCACTTTGTTATTGCATTGTGAATCTCTTGCTATACCCTGTACCCATACAACGGTTTAAATGGCTTACATGAAAGTGTGTAAATAATTTAAGTTAGTAGATTTACGATATTTTTCACGTGAAGTTTAAGTTTGTTTACGTTTAAGATAACTGAACTTAGTTTTTAAAGATTAGATACAGATAAAACTTTAGTTCTTGGTATCTTTAAACATGTCGAAATCTTATTTTCTTTGAATGAGAATATATTTTTAAGTTAATATCTGGTGAAGCACTAAGTCAAACTAAGTTGATACGTGTTCTGTTAATGGATAAGGGGTATCTGCAGGTCGAGCAGTCTCGCCCTCACCGATTTTTATTTGCTTTTTGCTTTTTGCCCAGTAGACGGAAGAAATTGAAATTCAATGTTTATTAGGAAAAGCAGTTTTGAGGCCACGGCCAAACTTTTTGGCCGATTGAAAGATTTTTTAATTGAATCAAAGGCGTCGAACGCGAACGGGATTAATGTTCATAATTGAAACAATGAGAGAAGATATAAAAATAGTGCCTTACAGTATTCGATATACAATTGCAGCATAATAACATTATAGTTAGATAGATATAAATATTTTGTATACTTTCTACTACAATGTACATCTTATATTTAGCTGAAAGCATAAGGTCATGTCAAGATCTATAAAGTTGTGCTGAACGCAATTAAGGAAGTCATATTTGAATAAATATCTGCACACGTGTTTTGCTTTATACTAAAAGGGCAAATCTACTAGAATAATACTCACTGTATCGTAAACATTTTGCTATTTACGAGCAAGATCATATCCGAAGAGCTTCAAGTACTCTTTTTATATTTGTTTATAATGGGGCTCTGATACAAATAAAATGTATCCAGTAGATACTAACATATATATGTTCATATGTTGCATATAAAATAAGTAAATATATCCAAAAATATATTGAAAAAAATAAAAATGAGGGACTCGTTCAAATATGATGGAAATTGTAAATTTTGAAAAATAATTTGTTGGGTTTAAAAATAAAACATTGTTAATTTCTATTTATTTACTTACCTTTAATGCACTCCTTGCATTCAATAAATCCAGTCATATTTCAAGAACACGTAAAATTGGAATTTCACGAAAATATGGCGTCTGATTTTGGAATGATTTATCTTTTTTGACTTTTAGGTACCTATCATTCCAGATGTTAGACTCACATTCTCTTCAATTGTTTTCACAGCTCTCCGCAGTTAACGCAACCAGGTCTGTCAGAATGAGTGCTGATCCTAGTCTCACTGCGTCTGGAGTTCCACGCGAAATCAGTCTTGGAGCTGAGATTTTCCACAGCATTGCATCCGCAGCTGCAGATGAAAATGTAATCATATCGCCACTGCTGCTGGAGGCGACGCTGGCGCTGCTCTACCTCGGCTCAGATGGCGCGACAGCTGAGGAGCTGCAGAGGCTGTTGGAGCTGAAGCAGCGCTTTCCCAGCAATGCCAAGATGGCCAATTTCTATGCTGCAGAGCTATCTGCAGCGACTGGCGACAAGGATACACGCATTCAGCTGCAAAATCGCTTGCTGCTGCAGGCCACCGTCGGCACGAGCATTGCGGATGACTTCCAGAAAATCGCACAAACATATTTCCATGCGACGGCCGAGTGCCTCGACCTGCAGCAGTCTGAGAAGGTGCGCCGCTACGTTAGTGAAAATATTTTGGCCAGCACTGGCGGCGGCAACTGGCAGCAGCCGCTCCAGGTGAACGCAAGCCAAGCGGCACAGCTGCTGTTGCTGCTCGCGGCGAGGCTTCAAAGCAAATGGTTTTTGCCATTTAGTGCCTATCGCACGGGCCTCTACGACTTTCACAGCTCCACAGGCGCCCCCAAGCCGGTGCCCATGCTCTTCGATGACGACATGTTTGTCAAGTACGCGGAGCTGCGGGAGCTTAACGCCCGCGCCATTGAGCTGCCCTATGAGCATGCCGACGAATGGGCCATGCTGCTAATCCTGCCCAACAAGCGCGACGCCTCGGCCCTGGCAGAGCTGGAAACCCAACTGCGCGCTCATGATCTGGGCGCACTGCAGCAGCGTATGCAAATGGAGAGCGTTCAGGTGTTGCTGCCCAAGTTTAGCATAGACTTTGAGTGCAGTCTGCGACAGGCGCTAAAGCAGGTGGGTAAAAAACTCGCATAATTGCAATTACTGTGGAACCAAAGACTACATTGAATTTAACGTGTACGAAGGTCGGTCAATAAGTCCCTAAGACAGGAATAAACATTTCCTTATCTTTGTTTTGTAAGCATTGCTTTAATTGCCATCTCGCTAGGACAAAGGCGGATATTTTAATATCAAAAATTGGCATTCATTACTTTGCCTATCAGTGGAAAGGACAACTGGCTGATGAAAATCAATTTATAATTCATATACACCAACTTCTCATTGCCTAAGATAATCTAAAGAATAACTATTGAACCGACTCTCGTATTTCTTGCTTACAGTTTGGTTTTGCCGAGATTTTTGGCTCCTCAGCCAACTTCAAGCATTTGCATACAGTCGCGAATCAGCCAATTGTCGATGTTTTGCACAAGCTGCGGATTGACTTAAACGAATCGGGCTCAGGCTCAGAGTTGCCTCAGCCGGCGACAGGTAAGTTAAATGCAATATAATCAGTTATTGAAGATTATTAATAAGCACTTGATGTATAATATTTTGCAGGTTATAAGCCCATTGTGATTAGCAATTCCTCGCGGCAGAAGTTCTTTCGGGCGGATCATCCATTTTTCTTTGCCATACGCGGCGAGAACGTGACCCACTTTGTGGGGCATGTGGTTAGTTTTTAGCGGACATGAGTCAGCAATAATAGTGTGTACACCAGACGGATAATAATAAATTAATAATTGTAATAATACTTAATAATAATAATCCATCGTCACAACATCAAATTTAAAATCTCTGTTGTGGATTTTCTATAACAAGAGTCTCGAGTTTAATCAAAGATATATGTATGTATGTGTATGTATAATTTGTTTGTTGCAGAAATAGTTCTGTAATATACTTTAGTTATACAATTATTGTATTTTGTAGAGTTTTTATCGTTTTCATGATTTGATTTTAGGTCTAGGAAAATTTTAAATAGAATCAAAAACAGAAGCACACCGCCCTACCGGGTGTACTCACATTGAATTAACCTAAGGTTAATTCTAATATATTGAGTTACTTTTACTTTTTAATGTTTGTAAATCTAGCTAAAAAATTGTTTTTACTTTAAATTCTTTCATTTTGCTTAGATGACTTGAAGTTTGATTTTAAATGTCACTTACAGAGCTTCTATATTTGATTTGATGGTGTGTATTCATACAATTAACTTTAATATATTTACAAGTAGGTTTTAAACTAAAAGTAAATGGTTCTTTCAAAACGAATCATCATGTATAATGAACATGAATGAATGAATAAAACATTTACGAAATTATGAATTAGACTTTTCAAAAATAATTCTTTTCAATTGCAGTCGTAAACGAGTTGAATATGTAAATTTAAATATTTTTAGGTAGTTATTTACATGATAAATTACAATTACTTCTGTAGACATACATAGGTATTTACACTGCTCTGGATTTCCTTTAACAATGTCGATGATTATATGGCCACGATACCTTTCTGTTGGCAGATTGAGGGACTCTCCAATTATAATTTGCTGCTTTGCTGCTGTTGTGGCTCATCGCATTTCTTGACTACTACGGCGGGCGGTGGTGGTGTCCCTGTGTCCACATCCAGACTGCCGCGATTGAGCAAATAGTCCAGATCGTGCGTGATGCGATCCAGTGTCGCATTGCCGCCTGAAGCACCGCTGCTGTCTACTCCAGCGCTCTGCGTGGACGGCGTAACAGAGACCGTTGTGGTGGCTGTGGTTGTAGTGGAGACGACTGCAGCCACCATGGTGGGCAGCAGCGGATCGAAGGTGGTGCGCGATGTCGGCTCCAGTATGGTCACGCGCTTCTGCGTCTTCGGCGTGGGCAACGTGGCACTGCATATGGTTGCCCGAGCACCGCTCAGATTGCCGCTAATCGTTGGCGGCGGCAGCGCCGACGCCTGCATGCTGAGCATCAGCGGACTGGGCACAAAGTCCACGTACGGATTGTGCTGCAGCGGCACGTAATGGGGCGAGGCTGTGGGCAGCATGCCACTGGTGTGTATGCCAATGATGCTGTCTGTAAGTGGTGTGGTTAGCCGTAGCAACAATGCAGCCGCACTTTGCACTTGACCCTAGGCTGGTCACTTACCTGCCGCCAGGCCCTGCAGTATATCCAGCGTCTCGAGGCCCACAAATTCGTCACAAGGGCCAGTCGCATAGTGTGTGGGTTGCTGGTGGTGCAAGATGCGCCGGCCCAGGCTGCCCGTCAGTCCACCCATCGTGTAGGCATCGTAGGCATAGCCGAGAGCACTGGCCGCCTCCGCGTTACCGCCGCTTAGCAGCGCACAACAGCGAGTGCCCGGCGAGGCGGCCACCGTCAAAGGCAGCTGCTGATGCCCACCAAGCAGGGTCTCCGCCGTGCTCACAATAGCTGCCTGGCAGCGCGGCGCCGTCGAGATGATTGTCAACGGCAGTTGCACGGCTCCGGCTCCGGCACCAGCTCCAGTTGCCGCTGACAGCTCCAGCCCCTGCTTCGGCTGCAGCGGAGCAGCGCTGGGCCCGGTTGCCACAGCCGTTGCTGCTGCCGCTGATGTTGCTATACACTCGCTCTCCTTTTCCTTATCATGATTGGTGTAGACTACAAAGAATAAGCAAAGGGGTAAGAGGTGAAAGGTAGAGTTGGTCCCCATTTGGTACGCTCTTGGCTTTGGCTACTTACAGCTCAATGGACTATTAATGCTAGCCGTCGTCGTCGTGCAGTAGTTTTCGTCCAGACTGGTTCTGCTGGTATTGAATTTGGTCTGTTTCAGCGAGCTGCTCTGGCTGCTGCTGTTGCTGCTCAAGAAGGGTGGTCCGCGTAGTTTGCTCTCAGCCTTGATGACAAAGCAAAAGAGAATGCCAAAGCCCTGGAATATAATACAATTGTTCGGCTTTAATATTGAGCATTAAGACATTTCCTTAGCTGCAGTATATATTGGTATATAAGAGCTAAGCTACATATTTTTATGGATCTGCATTATGCATAACCAATGATCAATTAATTCTATAAAACAACTTTAAAATGATTACATCAACCGATGCTTCTAATGAAGCAAGGTAATCAGATAATTATATTAATTTGACAGCTATGGAATATAAAAATAAATAGATTTCATTTGGTTATTTGAGGAACAAATGGAATATTCCAGGAAAAGCTGAGTATTTAAATAACGTAATTTCATTCATTATGGTTCATGTGAAAAAATATATATCTATCCAAATAGAGACAAATGAAAAATCACAGACTTCATATGCAATTCAACCCTAAATCCCTTTGGTACTACTTTCCTGCTTTGATTAGCAAGTTTTGCTTTACTTCTGTTTTATTTACAGCTGACAGTATGAAGCCGCGAATTAACTGTGCGTAGGCTTCACTTGCTATGAAAACTAACCAATTAAAAGTCCATTAATATTTCTGCTGCTCTGAACTCAACTGCAGCGACCTCAACAGTTGCTAATAAAATGCATTTCGATTTCAGTTTTCATTTGGCAGAGCTGTCCAGCACACACGAGTACTTGTTGTTATCCCCGAAAAATTCATAGAGCAATTGTAACTATAACTATAATAATGTTTAACTGACATTCGTTGATTTCACAACTTGAAAATTTACGAAATAGTTGCTTAAAAAACAGTTGATGCAAATTATATTTCAATATATTTTTTTTAGCCAACAATCTAATAGATTTTCAAGTGAAAATTCGATTTTCTAAATTGTTTTGAATTTTTACAATCAGTTATTTCTGGATCACAATTTAAATACAAAATTGGAATATAAATAATATCTGAAAATGTTTACAAAAAATCTGAGCGTCAGAGAAAATCTGACTATATAAAAAAGTGGTAAGATACGAAACGTACATATTTTGCCAGCAACAAAAATAAACATAGGTGTCAATTATTATACGTGTAGATCAGATCGATATAAAAATACTTTGTTGGATAAATAAATATATTAATACTCTCAAAAAAAACCAGAGTATAACATATATATATATAATTAATTTTCTTTATGTTTTACATTCACCTATAATATAAATAGCGTAATTGCTAAATATTACGAAGCTACCTTCTTTTGGAATCAAATTAAAATAAATTGAATCGGAATGTCGAAGGCATTTGTGTCTTTCAATGACTTTATGAGTCTGCCTGTCGTTTTCTATCACACGATCGGGGTAAATCCTTATGAATCGGCTACCAACACGGCAACTCGCAGTCACTGGCTTCTCGCAATCTTTATATTTCATGTGATTAATCTGAACTGTATGTGTGGATTGGAGATTGCTTTTGTGTACATGTCCTTTAGGGACAGCCAGAACTTTGTGGAATCCTGCATGGTGATGGGCTACATTGCATTTGTCGTAGTTGGAGAACTGAAGATGCTAACCGTCTGGTGGCAGAAGCCCAAGTTGAATGCACTGATGCGCGAAATGGAAATGATATTTCCATCTTCGTCTGTTGAGGACCAGCGCCAATATCAAGTGGAGCGCTATTTGCAGCGCTGCCGTGTGTTCACGAAGGGTTTCACATGCCTCTACCTGGTGCTCATCGCCACTTACAATCTCTATGTGCTCATCCAGTTCATCATTCAGCGACTTTTTCTGGACATGCCAAATGCTCGGCTGGTTATGCCCTATACTCCAGTGTCGCCCTGGAGCCTAGAAAATGGCTTGGGCTACGGCGTGATGTACGTTTTGCAGGCCGTAGCTGGCTACTGCGCTACGGCAGGACACGCCTCCAGCGACATTCTCATCTATGCGGTGGTCATTCAGGACATCATGCACTATGATCATTTATCCCGTGAGCTCGTTGAGTTGAAGATACAAACAGGACGCGTGAGGGATGGCTCTGACAAAGATCTCAAAGTGCTGCAGAAACTGATTTCATATCACAACAAGCTTCTTGGGTAGGTTATTCTCTGCTAAGTTTTATTTTCAATGGCAAACGTCTCGCTTCTTCCATAGGCTTACAGAAGTAATAAATCAGGTCTTTGGATTGCCTTTGCTCTTGAACTTTATGGCTTCTTCTCTGCTGGTCTGCTTTGTGGGCTTTCAGATGACCCTTGGACTGAGTCCTGAGCTAATATGCAAGCTGGCCGTCTTCTTGGTGGCGCAAATGGTACAAATCTATCTCATATGCTACTTCAGTGATTTGCTGATTAATGCCGTAAGTTGTCTAAGGGAATCTTTATCTATCTATATTCGGGACCTTTTCAAGAGTGCCAGTGTGTCCAACGCGGTCTACGAGATGAATTGGATAGAGGCCGATGTGCGGTTCCAGAAAATGCTTATTATTATAGCAGCACGCGCCCAGAGGCCAGTCTACTTGAGGGCCACTGTGTTCTTAGATGTTTCAATGCAGACTATGACCATGGTGGGTTGATCGTGGAATGAGATTTCCAATAATCCAACATTGTTTTTATATTTACTTGCAGTTCTTGCAAATGACCTACAGATTCTTTTGCGTGATTCGTACCATGTATCAGTAATGGAACAGACGATATTTATTGGAATTATATTTACTATATTTTTCTTATCTTGTGTTTGCTACTAGAAGACAGTCTCGTAACTATACTACACATTGTTGTTCTATCTATATATATACAAAATAAAATATGCACGGTATTTCAGTTTAAAAATTGCTCTTAGAAAGGTTCTTAATGGTGTTATAGAAGGTATGTCTTGTGAACTCTTCTTTTTTGGCTGATATCTGACCGGGAAGGATTGTACATTTCAAATAAATAATCGTTTTCTTTATGTTATAAATTGTAAAAGGGATTCATCAGCCGAACGGCAGCCACAGACAGCTTGCCTATCTCATATTGATTTAAACCACCTGTGACAGCTGTCATTTTTCAGAGTGCCATAAAATTGGTTACATTCATAAATCAAAAGGCTAGCTAGATAATTTGCACAAATGACTTTATTTGCAAACAGTTCACAACAACTCGTACCTTAACGACACCACTCATTTGTGGAATGAATAATTGAAAAACTTTAACCACAACTCGGTACCAACCAACTACGTGGTTATAAAACCAAAACTGGATTTTCTTAGAAAATCACTTTTTACCTAACAATAAAATAATAATAAAGGCAAATTTGTGGTTTCTTCAAGTAATACTCTCATTGGATCAGCTTGTGCCTTAATAGAGGGTATTATCAAGTTTGTTATTGCGTTTGTAACACTCAACGGCAACTTTTCTTAGCCTACTTGGGCTACCTTTTAGTTTAAATCAAATTACAATTGCAATGGTCTGGTCTAAAACATGTCTTGTCTGACTGCAAGCACGACACGAACAAGGGCAGAAAATCTCAGAGCACGCATATTATACGAAAAGGTGTACCCTTCCGATAGGAGAGGTTTCTATTTATCTATTTATTTAGCATATGTTAGGCTTAAGAATATCATAGGTTTCAAAGAATAATTCTATTTCAAACAAAATACTAGACAGTTACATTTAACAGGGTCTATATACTAATATTTTTTTTAAAGGTATCCTGTTATATCGGAATTAGATGACTTGTTAGTAAGATCTCACCATATTTACTCGTACGGGTTTGTGCTAAAAGTCTAGTCTCAATATTACGATATTTTTATAGGGTATTTATTATTTCTTCTTAAATATTGTTTTCTTTTATACGCCTATATGTTGATATAAGATTAGCTTATTTATATCCACGTATATAATAAAGCTTGTGGTTTTTGTTCAGTAATGTGGCAGGATAAATAAAGGACCGAACATTACGATAGTTAGTCTCAGTCAAGAGCTTGAGTTGGGAAGATTAAGATACCAATCTGCTATATAGCGCGATGTCAAAGGCTTTTGTAACTTTTAATGACTTTATGAGTCTGCCTGTGTTCTTCTATCACACCATCGGGGTGGATCCTTATGAATCACCTAGCTCCAAGGCAGTGCCCAGTCGTTGGCTCTATGTTAATTTTGTGCTCAATGAGGCAAATATTGGGTTTAATTTTTGTATGGAGTTCATTTTCGTAGTGCTGTATTTTAAGGACGCCGAACACATTGTGGACGTATGCATGACCATATGCTATCTTGGTTTTATTAGTGTCAGCCAGCTGAAGACGGGCAGCGTGTGGCGCCAGAAGGCCAAGTTGAACGATTTGGTGTACGAATTGGAGTCAATCTTTCCAGCTCCAAATCGTGAGGAGCAGGATAAATATCGAGCTGAACACTATCTGCGCAGGGGCCAGTTTTTCTTGCGCGGCTTCAGTGGTCTTTATTTGTTTCTTGTTATCACCTACAGCTTCTTTGTCTATGTGCGGTATGCCATTCAGCACTGGCTGCTCTACATGCCGGACGTCGAGAAGGGAATGCCATTCTTCTCAATTGCGCCCTGGGACTGGCACGACCACTGGAGCTACTACGTGATGTATCTGCTGCAGGTCTGGGGCGCCTATACCGCCACCACTGGCCACATTTCGGCCGATCTGTCCATATATGCCGTCAATATGCAGCTGGTTATGCACTTTGACTATCTGTCAAAATCGCTCAAGGAGTTCCAGATACAGACAGGATGCGTAGACAATGGCTCTGACAAAGATTTAAAATCGCTGAAGGACTTGATTTTATATCACAACAAGCTGCTCCGGTAAGTCGGCATCTGATTGTGATCAGGCATAAGTGTTTTGCTCTTGTAGGCTCTCCAATGTAATGAATTCGGTCTTTGGAATGCCCTTGCTCTTGAATTTCCTCACCTCTTCCGTCATGGTCTGCTTTGTGGGCCTTCAGATGACCCTTGGTCTGAGCGCCGACCATACTGTGAAGCTGGCCCTCTTTTTGGTCTCAGCCGTAATTGAGATCTATTTAATATGCTATTTCAGCGGCTTATTAATTGTTTCGGTGGGTGGTTCATTGTTCCTCCCGATGAATCCTAGAGGATTTATGCTTGTTCTTTCGCTTATAGAGTGAGGGTGTGACTGCGGCCGTTTACGAGATGAATTGGTTGCACGGCGATACGCGCTTTAAAAAAATGCTTATTTTTATAGCACAACGCGCCCAGAAACCAGTTTGCCTGAAGGCGACCGTATTTTTGGACATTTCTATGGAGACAATGGCTATGGTGAGCTGATCACCGTTGATTCTCAGTTGTATGGTGTATTGTTAAAATGAATCCTTTTTTTTAATAAGCAGTTCCTTAAAATATCGTATAGATTATTCTGTCTTATACGCACTATGTATCAGTAGATCCAAAAGAGAAGCTCGAAGAATACCCCAAAGTCAACTTTACTATACGACACAATAAACTAAACACCAGATATATTTATGGAATAAAATGTGAACTTTAACAGCAACTCAGGCTAAATCGCAATAACAAAATTATTTGAAGGCAAATATACATATTTAACTGATGCGACGCAAAATTAAATCCATCAACTATCTAGAATTTCAGAACTGAACGTGCCTTTATATCGATGCTAAAGGATGTGGCTAGACACATGTATGCTGCTCTGCTAAGCTTTCACTAAATGAGAGGGCAGAGGCATCTGAGGGCAGCGATTTCCAGCGAAATTAATTACTTAATTAGCGCAGCCTCCCCTTGACCCAGTGCAACAATTGTTCTACTAATATTGCAAAGCACGGCAAACAGCTGCGCCCCAAAAGTCATGGATTCCCATATGGTTGCCAGTCCATGTGGGCTTTACCGAGTGCGTGTTTCAGCCCTTTAAATGTTGTTATAAATAATTAAACAAGAACACGGCCTAACCTAGTCCTCGACAATGCCAAATGCCAATTGATGGCCAAATTAATAGCCCTGGACTGAAGTAAACACATGAGTGGGCGGCCCAAACTGCGGCAAGCGGGTTAGAAACCTCGGCAAAATGTGCTTGGATTTGGATGTAAGGCTGCCCATTTGTGCGTGCTCAGATGTTTAATTGGATTCAGTTTTGGTGCTCCGAATTTCGCTATAAGTAAGATGATATTTATGATTTTAATATTAATTTGGTAAGCTCCTTTCCATTATCATAAAGGAGTGCAGATTATCAATTACTTTCCAATTCTTTGCGAACGTTTAGGAGCCATGCTTTTTACTTTGTTGAGAAAGTAAAATCGAGTACATTGAATTTGTCTTTCTTGCTGTCAATTATTGCGTAACAAAATATTTATGTTTGTATTTGGAAATAACTTATCAGCAAGCTCTCACGATGCAAAGGTACGAATAGATGGATAAGCAAAGTGAACAAATTTATATTTAGAGATGTAGATCTACGTTAAGTTACAATGTTAATCAATCAGCTTGTTAGTCAAGGGAAAAACGTATTTATATTATGAGTATTAATATTATTTAGTGGTAGCTAGGAGAACCGGACTTAGTAGCTAAAATATTCCAAGCTCAGAAAGCAGATTATAAAATTGAAATATGGCTGTGAGAGGTGAGTAAGCTGGCCTTGGAATGTGCTTTTAAGTAAGTCTCTTAGAAGAAGAATTCAGGCGCACTTATTTAATTTACAAAATAAATGAGATGAAATAATAAAAAGAAAACACAAGCAACATAAGAAGAGGCTTAGCGAACGGAAGGGGAACCGATGTCAAGTGCAAAGCAAACAGAAACAAAAAGGCTTCTTTGGCCACTTTGATGACTGCGACCACAGAGCAGCAGGTGAAACTTAATGCAACCAGCGAAAGTGGTTAAGAGGATGGCAAGGGACGCGGCTGTTGCCGTATGCTGCTGCGACTCTAAGAGTCTCAGTTGATTTTGCATGCATAATTTGTGCGGCAGGCGTAAAAATATGCAGGCTTTGCACTTTGATGAAATATGCACGCGCAATACGAGGCAAAGTTGAAGAAAGCTAAGGAAGAAAACAACATAAAATCTCGAATGATAATAAACAGAAAGCAGATACGACGATTTGCATAAAAGCTCAAGCCAAACGGCAGCCGTTCCTTAATAGTTTTGTTGACAAGCTGCCGAATCACTCGAATCAGTTGAATAACTCAATCAACATAAAAGCAACTGCCATAAAAGTTGCATGGTAAATATAAAGTATACGACGCGTGGTAAGCATTTATGCTCTCATATGCGCTTAATTAAATATCAATTGACTGGAGACTTCGTAGTGCACAGTCTGGACTTACCAATATTATGCACGATATGCCAAACGGATATGCCCATAAAGTATCCGGCGTCGAATTCACGTAGACTATAAAGCATCCATCGCTGCAGAGTTTTAAGAGCAGCAAACCGCCTGCCCGATAAAGTAGGCCAAGTCTATAATGGAGGCAGAGACAGAGAGAGAGAGAGAAAAAGAGAGAGAGTGAGGGAAAGGAAATTAAAAGCGCTTTTATTGGGAGTTGTGTGTAGCCGCTTGAGGACTGATTTTATGGTTTATGTTCGTCTGGTCGCAGTTATTCCCATTTTCAGCTTGGACTGCAAAAGGGAAATTAGATTTTGGCATGGACCAAAAACAACGAAGCTCTGGACTCGACTGGCATACAGAAAGCATTATAAATACATTAGTTAATAGTAATAGTGATTGGACAGGATTATTGGCCCTAAGCAAGCCGAATCCAGGCAGTCGAACCTTCCCATTCTGTCTGTCTGTGCTTTTATCAACTATTCACAACTTACCGCCTCTGCAGTGCCGTGTTGAATTTATCCAGCGGATGCGTATGCACATTGCGATTCTTGTGCCATAACCACAAGAGTTTCTTCATTAAAATGACAAACAGCGCAAAGAAGAGTAGAATGAAAAGCAAATCGATGCAAACGAACAGAATGAAGCTCAGCGAAGGCGTCGTCGACGACAACGATGACTCCGCGCCCAAGCCGGAAGTGAATGCCGCTGCTTGTGCATGTCCTGGGACGGCGCGGCCCCAAGCGGTAGGCGTCTGTTGCTGTGGCCAAGTCAATGCCGCAGCCGTCACGGCGCCCAAGTTCGAGTCCGACGTCAAGTCGCTGCTGCTGCCGCCTGTGATTGATGACGCTGACGTGGCCACAGCATTGACCGTGCCCGTGCCTTGGCCCGTGCCTATGTCTGTGCCCATTGATGATGTCTCAGTCAGTGTGGGCGATGGCTGCCGTTTGCCCGTTGCATTGCCTAACAGTGCTTCCGACTCGAGAAGTAAATTATCGCCGTTGAGCAGCGAATGCGTGGCATAAAAGACACCAGCATCGTTCTCCGAAGGGTCCTCGCTGCCGCTGCCGCTGTTGCTGTCGCTGCTTGCGTCGCTGGCGGCATCCGATGGCAGCCTGGTCCACAGCAGCTCCAGCCACCAGTGCCGCGGCCACTTGCCTATGATGCTGCAGATTAGCGGCGCAGCAATTGCAAACAGCAGCGGCAGAAGCCAGCTAATGCCAATGGCGCCGCGTATGCCCGCTGAGCCGCTGTAGAGTGCCAGGGAGGCCGGGTGCGAGCCGGCGGCGGATCTTGAGCCCGAGCTGTTGGGCGGCGGCGGATGATTCCTGCTGCGACCGCAACTGCGACTGCGACTCACGACTGCTGCCTCCGGAGACTGGGCACTGATTTGCGTAATATTGCTCAGACTCTCGCGGCGTTTGTTCTGCTTGGTCGGTGTCGAGGGCTTGCTGCCGATTTGTAGATACTTCTTCGGCACCAGCTCCGTATGTATGACCAGTGCAATCGCAATCAGCGTAGAGATGCCCAGCAGCAGCAGCGATGCCAGCGAGCTGCTGATTATGGCATGCCAGTTCTGCAAAGAGGAAATTATGTGGCACATTATTAACGCTGCAGTGAGAGGGAGAACGGCGGCCACTTCGTTGCAACATCATTATTTTTAATTAAATATAAAAAGTTGTCATCGCATTATAGCAACAACAACAGTAACAGCGACAGTAGCCAGAATACCATTTACGACCAAGCATGTATTAACTTTTTATGTTTTATGTATTTCACAGCTATTTACTTGGGCTTACCCTGCCTCTGCTGAGCCATAAAGATGACATCAAAATTTGACGCGTGCCTGGAGCTAAAATTATTTCATTGCAATTCCTGCCAATGACTGGACATTACTTATTAAAAAGTTATAAACTTTTCTGTCAAGTATTAGGCAGGTCATTCGCTTTTGGCCTGCGGATTTTTTTTATGAGCGACAAATGGGAGAAGGTTTTATTGATCATACATAATCCGTATCTCTAATTAAATTGGCAATGGACTAACACCAACCAAACCATAAGCTAACTTTTTATAACCCTGTCAAGGGTATTGTAAAGAAATGTGTAAGGCATAGAAGAAGACATCTTTGACCCCGTAAAGAATATATATAGTCTAGATCAGATGATTTAGCCATGTCCGTCTGTCTGTTTCTATGCGACTAATCTCTCAGTTTTAAGGCTGTCGACTTGCAAATTGGCCGTACCTATATCGGAACCAACCAGTCGACTAGATATAGGTGTCATACTAATACTCACTTTTTAGTTATGAAGATGTTTTGATCAAACTAAATAAATGCAAAAATCTATTAACATCAGACCTCTATATCATATAGCTGTTATGGGAACTATATTATATTGGTTTTTAGGAAGAATCTGTCGAAGAATGAGTTTTTGTATGCCAAAATATTCTGTTATCCAAGGTATTTTCATCAAATTCGAGCTTTTTGCTATTTTCACATATCTGCAAAACTGTAAGGCAAACTTCTACAAGGCTGTGCGAACTTCGGCGTCACGAAGATACCCTTTCCTTCTCGTTATATTTAAGTTTTTATATTTATAATTCGCTATGGGACGAACTGCTTGCACACTGCTTGCGGCCTGCTTTGTTAACTGCTTCGATTTCGAGTAATAACAAAAATACAAAATTGAACTAATATATCCGACAATTTAAATTTAAATACTTGAGGTAAAGTGCCTTGCAGCATAAGAGTAAAAGGCAGAACACTTAATGAGTCGCTATGTATGGATTTCAGAAACATTTTAGACAAATTGGAAAAATCACGATTTAAAACGGCAACTTCTCAAGGCAAACAGTTTTATATCTAACAATCGCATCAGAAAAACAAGTCATAGGTTGCTGCTTATATAATTATATAAACTAATAGCTTAGGGATAACTAAAAAGCTGCCAAAATTAATAAGTTGATACAAATATAGTTCAAAAGTAAGTTATAAGTATAATATGTGAACAGTATTTCTCTTATTGTGCCATATTAAATATTGATTTTTTGAATAAAAAATAATTAAATAGTAAAAAGAGAAGTTATTTAATATTCAGTTTTCAATGATGTGTGGTTATTATAATTCAGAGCTGGCAGGATAAATGCCAATCAACTTCGCCTAGAGTTCACTTGCTTGTTTTGTTTTGCATGTCATGAGGCTAAGTCGACTCTATTCATACCGGGAAACCGCAATATGATTTTATTTAATTTTGGTTTGGTTGCGGTATGACTCCATAACCATTAACCAAATTGCAAGCTAATACACATTAAATACGTATACGACCAACTGATTCAATATGCGAAAATCCACTGGGTTTTAAATAGCAAAATATGAGGGAAGCAAAAGTTGTTTCCGTAAAGAGAAATGTTGCGGCTTAATATTCCAGCCACACTTCATTACATTATCAGGATTCTTCTTTTCACATGTACACTCATATATGTATGTTCTTATTTACATATGCCATATAGGACAGGTAAAGCTAGAGCGTGGTACTTCCATACTGCTGTGTCGGGCTGAGCAGTTGCTTTCGGCTTCTTGGCATCATCCAGAGGAGGTCAGCAGCTCGTTACAATGTAGTATGCCCTGGTGCGGGCTGAGGGGAAAATAAATTCGTAAACTTTTTAATTTTCAATTCTCAGCGCGAATATTTTTACGGCGTCGCTTTGTTTTTTGCTTTTCCAAATTATGAGTTAAGTGCGCTTAAAAGCTTTCGCCTTAAACATGGTCTTCTCAATCTCTCTCTCTCTGTCACTCTCTCTTTCTCTCTCTCTCTCTCTCTCTCTTATTGCTGCCACTCACGCCTCGGTCCGTGGCGTATGCGTTATTTTTATTTTCTTATATTATTTATGATGTATTTTTAACTGGCGCTGAAATTGTACTTATTTATGCACAAATACATATGCAATAAGTAAAATGAATATTTTAATTTTATTTATTGTGGCTTATTGTGTGGGCGTGGCTGCTGCGGCGCGCCGCCTGCCGCCTGCTGCCTGCTTGCCGTGACACGTGTTTTAAACCATAAAATTTGCATATGTCTTTGCGGTGTGTTGCGCTCGTATTGTATCCTTTTAATTTCGCATTTTAATAAAGTCTTTTACACATTTGCATGCGATTAATGTACAAAAATATATGTTGCACCATCAAGTCAATGTTCTCCTTTTTGTGGCATTGTGCAACTGGGCGCTGGCCACAAATGTCTTTACGTAAGTTGCTCATTAAAAAAATGATTTCAAACTGAATACATGTGCCGAATATACAGCATGTCCCCCCCCCCTTAGTGTGGCGCCTCACATGTTGCAGCGCGTTGCCAAAAGGTGGCAGCCACACGCTTGGGGCACACTCGGACGCTTTTGGTATGAATTGCGCTTGAGTCGAGTTTGTGCAGTCATTAAGGAGACACCCGCACACTTGACTAAAGCATCCGCGCACGCCTCATCCTGGCATTTGTTGAAACTTTGTCTTCCGTTGCCCACCAGCAATATGTAAGATTGTACGTGTTATTCCCCGATCTGGTCTTGGTTCACCAATTCTCTTAGTTCCAGTGATTGAAATTGCTGTTTGCCTGTGTTTCTAACTGCGCTACTTTCCGAGTTCTTTGTCAACTTTCGTCAGATTGACGCAACTCGGCTTTTCTTTACATTTTCAATTGCTAAAATCTTTCTCCATTGTTGTTGTGGCTCTTTTTATTGTGTTGTCGCGTTTTATTTGTTTTTCATTCATTTATTGCGCTGCTGTTTTCACTGCGGCCCAGTTTATTACTAATTCAAAATGTTACATCTTGTTAGAGACCTACAGAAGTATTTTTAATATTTATCCTTGCGAAAGACCCCAAGAGATTAGACAGCACAAATTTGTATATTTTGTTTATACGCTCATTTTTCGTTTTATAATTTAAAAGATTGCCAAATGCTTTTGGGATTTAAAGGTTGCAAAGGATTTGCCGAGTTTTTAAGGGGGTTTGGACCGATCTCACACATTTAATATGCCACAAGCTTGGCATTGGAGGTCTCTGTAAATTGAAAATTTGGCCCTTTATTAATATTTATTTCGACTTTAGCGATTTCATTCTCTCCGGAGAGCTTGGCTCAACGCTGTTGACTTTTAATTTCCTTTTCTAGTAGCTGTTGCTGGCGCCTGCTGGGGCAACAGGTGGGCCCGCCATCGGGATTTGTATTTCATGGATTTTATGTATTCCTTGTGTTAGCTGCCATAACAAACTGTAAATTATAATATTCACAAATCCTGGGCAAGTCAGTGCTTTTATTGGCTCATTACTTGCCAGACGACAAGTTAATTTGTTTTGATGACGATGATGATGCTGAGGATTGCTGGAGCTGCGACTGCTGAAGATTACTTTTCAGCATGAAAAGTTGAATAATATTCATGCCTGAATGCTTGCGAAAATTAGTAATTACAATTTGTGGAGTTTCTTGGGCGCAGCCAAACAAATGGATGATTGTTATTTACGGGTCTGGCCAAGCAAGGTAATGGCTTTTTGGTGTAAGAAAAGGGCTGTAAACATATTTCAATTTAACTTTACATTGAACCAGCTGCAGCTTTGCTGCATAGTGTTTGTGCTCGAGAGCCAAGTTGAAATTGAATCCTTATTTGTGGCATGCACCACTATTTTTCTTATTCGTTATATTCTTTTCACAGTTCTGCTGACCTCCCTTTGTTTTGTTCAGGCTTCAATTTCGGTTTTGGTTTCCTTTTGTTTTTTTGGTTTTACCTTTATTTGTATATTTATTTTCCAGTAATTAAATTTTTCGCCTTGGTTGCGTTCGCTGCGGCAGGGCGTGTGTGTGTGTTGGAGGAGAACCGCACGGGAAATTGCAACAGCGCCGCTTAAAAGTATGCAACGAATCTTCGGTTTGAAGTGGAGTAGTTCCGAGAGAATCGGAATCAAATTCCGTTCGCTCTACATTTATAATTGTTTTTATTTGATTTGAGCATGCGAGAGATTTTATTACGAATCAGAAATTAGAAAAATAGCTCAATTCCAAATATTAAGAGGAGAGCATTTTTTGTAGTGGACAACAAAAATGGAAGGTATAGGAATAATAATTAATTGTATAATTGTATAAACTCACCACAGGCAGCATTTTCATGAAACCCAGCAGGTAGATGAGCATCACACTCGATGTGGAGATGCAGAACTGCATCTTCAGGAAGGTCACGGCGCACTTGCGATTGCACCAGATGGGCAGCAGGATGAGAAAGGCGGAGCAGCACTGGAGAAGGCAGCAGGCACAGCTGACGATCACAAAGATTGGTCGCTGTGGAGTTTGCCACTGCGTAGACTGAAACAATGGGGATAGGGAGACAATAAAAAAGATTTTAAATATTTGCAGGTAACTCAAACTAAAATGGGGCATAGCTGTTGCTGGCTATGCAAACGGAAATCGGGCTTTAAGTGAGTAATCAAAATGAAAATCATAAACAGCTTTGGTGTTTTGGTTATCCAGGCTCTCACTAATAATTGCCGCAAATCAAATTGCACTTCCACTGTCGCGGCCTACTCACCTGCGGCTGCCTTTTGGTTAGCATGACCACATAGGTGCCGGAAAGCGGACAAATGCAGCGGGTTATATTGTCCATTAGATGTTTGGTAATGCACAAATCCGAGCGCCACGTGGAGTCAAAGGAAGCCTTGTAGTCGTGACTGTGAACGGACAGTTGCTAGTTTGAATGCACTAACAATTGTAAGTTTGCTATTCAACTTACCCACAGACGGCCACCCAGTCACCTGTTTTGGGCACACTTTCGTGCTGGAATATGATCTCGACATGGCCAGCCTCAAAGGACAAATCAAGGGGCTCTCGAAAGTTGTCGTTAGAGCGATTTGATTGAAATAGCCAGGTCTGTATGATGCGCGAGGCAAGCACATAGTCCGAATCCTTGGGATCGCTGTGAGTTAAGAGAGGGTTTCAGTTATAAATATGTAATAGTAAATATAAAGGCCATATTAGCCGTCATCTTTACTGTGGCTTAACTTAACTATAAAAATGACTGCGGCCCTTTGCCATCTAGCATATTTCCAGTATTATATAGTGCATATGAAATACCAAACAGATGCTGCCATTCATGTAACAGTTGCAGCTGTCGCTCAGCCTTCCATCTAATCTCATTAACGCACTCAAGGACGAATCATTCAAATGCGGACAGCATGTTCATTAAAGCTCTTCCACACATGCTCCTACACTCGCACACGAGAACACACACACACACATATCTATGCGGATTATTATAATTAAATCAACATTCGTCAGCATATTGACAACTATTCTAGTTCGCATTCCATGCCATTTCCAGCCAGATTTCGTTTCTGGCTCTGGCTCTCTATTAAGTGTGTTGTTGCATGTTGCACATTTGCATTTTGTTTACAATATAACAGCCTTGCATTTGTTTTCATTGTGCTCTTGTGGACTTTATTTTTAATGCTCTTATGAGAAACGGAATCTCCTGTCAATGGGAGTGCGGCAGCATTGGCAACACATGGCATTAGACTTAAATTTGTACATCGTTTTTTACAATTTTGAAATTCGTAGAAATTAAATATGATTTTTGCTTACAGCTGAGAGTCAGAGTGAAGATGTTATTAAATATATTTTTTGAACCCTTTAACATTTTATATTTTTCCTTTACTCAATTTTTTTAGAACTATATATTTACCACATTGATAATTGACGTAAAATTGCGATATTATCCGGTTACAAATTTAAAATTAAACTAGTTTTGTTTTTATTTTTTGTACCCACCTGCCACGTGTGTAATAGGTTTTTGGTAGAAAACTTTTAAGATTCTTATAGGAGATCACAGAAGCAAATATTGTCGAATTGGCCATGATATGCAGCAGACGTGAGGACAGTCCAATGTCCATATAAAGTTGATCCGAAAATAGGTCCTCACTGCCAAAGAAAAGTGCACAGGAAATATTAAGCCATGGCAAGTTCTGCCTGCCAGCCACTAACTTAATTAGCTTAATAAGACACTTGCTGAAGTGAAAACTTAGTGCCGAGGTATCCTTGGCACTTCAACAGGCCAACAGGCCAACAGGGCCGACAGGCCCACGGAAAAGTCCTTCAAGTTGAATTTTATGAGCAATTTTATAGTAAACGAGCGCGCGCGCTTATTTAATGCATTTCGTTTTTATTTATTTATTTATGTTCGCCCATAAAGCAAATTTTCCATTAGATGCAAATGCAAAAATGGCTGCCCTTTACCAGGGTATATTAATCAAGTGACCGTAATGCGAAGTTTACTGTTACTTGGGAGATTCTTACTTGCATTATTCTTTTATTTTTTATTTCTAATTATAAAATTATGCAACGCGCTTGACATGTGCAAGCTCTATTATATCCAAGATATTCTTATTCAAGTTTCTGATGCCAACAAATTACGAAGTTTTAAAGGCAAGAAATTTATTTCCATAGGATACATTTTATATAAAATACTGTGATTTATAGTTTAATAATTGTAAAACGAATTCAATTTTAATGTTATTGAATCGGTTTTATTAAACAATTTTAGAAAATTTGTGCGTTAACTTTAAAAAATTAAGAATTTTCATTGAGAATATTTGTACGTTTACATTAATGGGTATCGTCAATTAATTAAATCATGGCACACTAGAAAATAAGGGGTTATTCAATTAATATTCTGCTTCATTCAGTATATACCTGATTGGTGTTCAAAACATAGTAACCAACAAATCCAAATTTTATGCAGGACTCATGATTTTAGATTAAATTAAATAGCCTTAAATTTAAACTAAACTCAGATATGCTGTGTAATGGAGCATAGCTGGCCGGACGGTGTTTTAGCTAACAATTTTTCTACCATATATTAAAGGTACCTCTGTAAATCTTTCTAGTGGAATTTTGTAAAACAACAAAATATTTTTTAAAGGAAATTAAGTAACTCTCCAATCGTAGTTCAGATTTTCAAAGGGTATATGATTTATTTGTAGGCAGCTTGCTTTAATGATCATTAAAGCTTCTTAAGGTTTAAAAGTGAGGCTGCAGCCTCTTCGGTTTTTTGTATGTGACATAGTTTTATTTTATATTGTCATTCAAGCTGAATATCAAAAGATATTTCTGAACTCTACTTATCAGTTTGAAGAATATAGCTTACTTTAAACGAATGAATGGAAAAGGAAGAAATCGAGCAGAAATGATTCGATTCGACATTTGCTCATTGTTTAACTCACCCGTAAATGCGTAAATTGAACGGCAATGTTTTCACTGAGGTCATGTAAATGCGCAACGAGTTCAGGCGATCCAGCGACAACGTGTCCTCATCGACTGTCAAAATACTCGCGGCGCCACCATCGCCAATGGCCCCACCACCGCGATTGGCCAGTAGCTTGCCCGCAGCGCTGCCATTTCCATCACCTCTGCTGCTGCTACCTCTGCTGCCGCCGCTGCCCTGTGCGGTCAAAGTTGTCGAGCTGTCAGCAGCCGTTGCCGAGGATGTCGCCTGGCTGCCGCTGCCGCTGCTGCCGCCGCTGCTGCTGCTCCCTGTCGATGTGGCCAATTGCGAGGCCGCAATTGTCTCGCGGTTCAGCGCCGCAGATTGCGTTAAAAGTTGCAACTTTTTAATTTGCTGCAAAAAGGGAAAATGTTGCCACATTAAATTTTGACTCGTCAAATTTGTGCTTTGGGTTTTCAAAGGTGGAAGGTCAGGCTCTGACCGTAGACACGCGAGTTTCCCAGGCAACGCTTTCGTTGCTATTGTTGTTACTCTCCATTCTTGTCACCCAGGGTCTATTAAGACAGCATCACGTTTCAAGAAACTTGAATAAGTAAACATTGCCTAGTTTTGAAAACAGATAGTTGGCACCGGTTGGAGGTTGCCATGACTTCGTGTGCACAAATATTGTTGTTAAAATAATTATCTATGGATTAAACATTATGAGTTGAAGATGTCGAATACATTTCTTTATTGTCTGTTTGTCTGAGTGTGCTTCGGTCGGGCAAAACAGCAATTATACCCTGCAATTTGGCTCACTTAGCTATGTGGCAAATCAAATACTCAAATTTAAAAATAAAATAGGTAACTGAATAGTAAACAAAAAATATTGCACACGTCGCTGTTTTATGATATTGAAATGACACCTTTTCTTAAATTTAGACATCAGTAAAAACGCCTAATGGGTAATAATAGAAAATATTGTGGCTTTTTCTAGGTAATAAAAAGATAGAAGCGATAGTAACTAGAATATCTAGAAGTAAAATCGGTTCAAATTTCTATTTTAGGTATACTGACAAAAAATGCATTTGACTTGGCATATTTTTCGATGAACATTGCATACAAATGTAAAAGCCAAATATACTTGGCCATGCTCGAGCGGCGATAGTCTCATATTGGCCACAATAATAAAAGCAAAACAAAAAAAAACAATAATATAAAGCAGTCACTGAACCCAAATAACATTATTATATATTGTTCAATAGTAGACTGCGGTTCCAGTGGGTAGTTGGGCATCAAGAGCTGACCCAATAAGCTTCAGCAGCAGCCAAGCGGCCAACGAACCATTCGATTTGCGTAGCTCGTAATGAGAACTCCATTACAATGCCATTTTCCTTGATTGTTTTTTTTTTGACTTTGTTTTTGGGATGAAATTTCTGCTGTCAGAGCGCAATTTCCTGTGCAAATCAAAAATTACAATAGGCCGAGCAGAAGCATTTGAGTAGGACATGAGCATAAATTGATATACTCGTGCATATGCAATGGAGAGCAAAAACAATTCCAATTGGAAAACTTTCCTGTTGCAACTTTACAAAATAAAAAAAAAAAATATAATAAAATAAAAAAAAAAGGAAAGAAAAACTTTTGCTTCAGCAACATCAGTCAAGCCTGACGTGATATGTATTGTTTTCCCTTTCCCTACGCCTATGCAAAATTGTGGCATTTGTTTAAAGACAAGGAGCTTATAAAATGCTGCAAAAAAATTTGGTCGAAAAAGTTTTAAATGTGAATTCCGAGCTGTTTCCGACCTGGCCACGTTTAACAGTTTACCGGCAAATCATTGGGGCGTCCAACTGTGTGGGCGTGGCCGTTTGCCTTAACGTGCGGCACATGTGTCTGGGTGTGTGTGCGGGTAACTTTTTAGCTGATTCGAAAGTTTGCTTGCGACTTTAGAGCACGTTCTTTTTATTCGACGACTTTTTGCTAAGTGATTTGTCGTGAACTTTGCAAATTTGATTTTTGAATAGCCCATATCTGCAGTCGGCATTTCTAAAGTTTTTGGTCAAGCTATGGATTGCATGGAATCAGGAGCGGTTCAGCAAAGAGAAAGTCGCATTTGAATGTAAAATATAAAATTCAGTGATATTTTTTAAGTGAGCATTCAAATTTCTGATTTCTACTAA